AAACAAAAAAGATATCAATTCATTTTTTATCTTCTTACTTACAACTCCCCCTGTTCAGAGCCTCTTGCGTACAAGGCCGCCCACGTGGAATGTAATTCTCCTAAGCTAAATTCCCCTAAATACTACAATGACTGATCAATTGCAACTTTTCAATGACATGCCAGATCATAAGAAATCTTAACAAAATGGTTACGATACGCGAAACTCACCTCACGGCTTTCCAAACATCCATGTTCATGTATTGGCAGGAGCTGTACTGTAATATATATATATACAACATTGAAATTTGAAAGCGATATAATGATATCCAAGATCATAGTTGAAGATGCTGTATAATATCCTGAAGGACCTAAACAACTGTACTTAGTCTAGTAGCAGTTATAGTTTAAAATAGTAATGGATTATGGCTAGGTCACCTCAAGGTCCTATGTGCTTGTAGACCTTATGATACATCTGTTTCATCTGACAAAAGAATGACCTTTCAGGTGGTCCAAACCTCTCTTAGCTCTGTTCGCGATCCTGGCTACTGAGGGTCAAATGAACCTGGCGTCTGTACGGGTTTTGTCCGTCCCTCCCTCTCCGTCCCCCCTCTGCCCCCTGTCCACCCCCCCTCCGCCCCCTCTCGGGGCGTTTATTGCAGTCCACGGACTTTACCATCTGATTCGGCTCTCATCCGAGGAAATTCAGTATGGAAGAACGAAAGCTCCTTCTAGTTTTACCTTCGGGGATCAGATTCATCAGAACAATCCAGGAGGAAGAAAACGCCCGTCTAGTTTTATGACTGGGATCATGGTGAATGGTGCCAGTTGCAGCAGCTGAGGATAGTTTGGACTCTGGAGTATCTTCAGGCGTGATCCAATTGATTGGCAACCGTCCAGATCTCTCGTCCTTACAGCTAACAATCAATTGGCCCAAAACGAAAATGTCCATCTAGATTTACTGCTGAAATAATGGTGGACGTGGCATGTTTTTAAACCCTAGAGGCAAAAAAAGCTTGGCCGGCAAAGAAACCACGCGCCAACCCGAAATGAGCGATTTTGGTCCAAAAGTATCCGTTGGACATTTTCTTTGTTTTGTTGTTTTCCCCTCTGACACCACGGCCGACCCCTTGTAAATATGACACCCGGTCTGACAGCACGGCCGTCAGTACTTCCGTCGTCTTTTCGAACTCAGCGCGGTTTACTTTGCCGACGGGCGTTTTTTTTTCCCATTCGATACTCGAAGGTGACATGAACGTACTTGCCTCTTTACTGTTTCATGCCTGGGATGGGCATGGTCCAAGCAGCGGTAGGATAGTTTTTTCAGAATCTCCGGGGCTGGGGCATGATCCTATCTATTGTAGACTGCCCACTGGAAGATCTGTCATCTTGACAGCTAACAATCCATTGAGCTCGAACGTACAATGTGACCAATTGTCCAGTCCAGTCGTGTTCCTACCTCTGTCACGCAGAAGTGCGACAAAAGTCGAGTAGAGCAGAAGAAAATGTTGTGCACTCTGCGCTTCGAGTAGAGCAGAAGAAAATGTTGTGCACTCTGCGCTCCTAGTCGTTAAATCCCCAGTACACCACCGACAGCGCTACTGTGTTCACTCAAATACACCATACGATCATTACAGCTGTATTTGGGGCAACTTTGAGTCTGGAGACAACATTAATGACTGTACCGTCTGTACGTTGTATTCGGGCAAACACAGTAGCAATGTCTAGCATACTCTTCGAATCACATCTGAACTTTTCCTGCTTCTAGAAGGACCATGCACCATGCACCAGGAGCCCCATTTACTGCCCCATAAGCTCAGACTTGACCTGTGTGGCGATGTGTTGCAGAAGAAGAAAAAACAAGCGAAGTTAGAAAACAAAGAAAATGAGTCTTCTGTTTCCTGGCTACGGATGGCAGATGCTTAACATCCGATGCTGATGATTTGCATCAGTCCCTCATTTGAAAGCAAAGAAGAACATCAAACAATGGTGGTAAGGACATATGACATATAATCAGTAATTGCAAGAAGTGCTTATTACTGCTAAATATGATGTCTGATGCACCAATGAGCATATTAAATTTTCTATTTCCTTCTGAAGAGTTGTAAGTTATAATTATGCATTTTTCCCAAGGGAAGATTCCCAACAGACCAGGAAGGATGCCACGGATTGGCAAGATTCCAGTGGGAAGCCTGCACGGGCAACACCAGTTTTAAGGAATGACGGGGACTCAGGAAGGTACTGAGGTCTCCCCATTGATTCTGTTAACTAGTCTCAATGTTCATACAATTGCTCATCACACACAGGGCCTCGTTGGACCCTCCTTGGAAATCTGATTTTTTGAAAATTGGCGTCGTTACACCGTGTCCTAATTCACCAAATTCTTTGGATGAATGTGAAACCGCTCCCGATATATTTCCTTGGGTTCCTCGGAATCCCCAGCCAAAACGTCATTGGATACAAGGGGTCCTCGTGAGGTCCCTTGGGTTAAAGGAGCCGCGATTTACGGAGTGTTCTGAAGCGAGCGCCAACAGGAGAATTTGGAGTCGATGTTGGTGCACAGGTCGTCCGTGGTCCATTGGGCGGACATCACCGGCCTCGAAGTACCCGACGGCCCCCCAACGGCCTTCCACCGTTACCATTGGCACGAAAATGCGTGGGGGTTGTTCTTAACCTGCAAGGTGCTTCACGAGCGGGGTTTTCCGTGCGCTCGTCGCCGGCCGTGGTGTCCAACGGTCAAATTTTTTTATTTTTCTACAGGCGATGTTGAAGCACTGCCGGCCGATTGCAGTCATCTGCCTAGTGTGTTTTGTCGGTTATTGTCGGGCGCATTGATGCAAGCTTTGTTTGCTACACGCCTCGCACATTGTGATTCACGGCTTCTCCTGCTCTCTGTTGTGTTGTTTCAGTTGCGCGTCATTGTGTGGGGCTAAGTGACCCCCACGGCAGCGGCCGAGGAGGCCACCCGTAACCCCGCGGGCGAGGCCGCATGGACGATTATTTCCGCGGCCGCACCACGCTCAGGCGAAGCCGCGCACCCAAAATCGGGGCGCGCGCATCGCCTGTGCATGGCGTCCCCAACCAAAGTAAACTTTCAAAAAAAAAAAGTGAAATGTGGGGAGGGTCATTTTCAAATGGGTAGAAACATAATAATAATAAACCCCAACAAAGATAAGTTTTTTTTTTTTTTTTTTTTTTTTT